CGCGACCCCAGGGGGGGGGCCGGACCCGGCGGGGGCAGGAGGCGGAGAGACCGGACCTTTCACGGCAATATCCTCATGGGCCGGCGGCGGGGGGTCTTTATCCCCCTCCCCGGGGGAAGCGGCGCCCTTCTCGGTAGTGGGGCTCAGGCGATGCCGGCGGATTTTCTTCACTCAACGAGCAGAGCATCCAACATGGCGCTGCGGCCGCCTCCAGCAGTCCGGCAGGACGGCCGCTCGGAACACTTCGGGCCTTTTCGGAGAGGCTCGGGAGGCCGAGGGTGGGAAGCCTCTTCGGCTCTTTCCGGAGATGGCGGGCGATCGGGATTCTTCGGAAACACTCGGAGGCGTCTTCGGCCGCCCTTCGGGAGCTCTCTGGAGCTGGCTTGCTTCCTCCGAGCCAACAATCGGCTAAAGCGGGCTTCCCAGGCTCGGGGCTCGGGGTGCGGGGCGGTGGGAGAGACCAAAGGCCAGGGCTGGTGTACGAGCGCCACCCCCTGCGCCCCAGCCTCGGAGAACAATAGTAACGGTCCTGGAGCCTGCGGTCCGCAGAGCCCTCAGGCTGCGAGGCGAGAAACTTCCGATCCCGAGCCTGGAACCGCTTAGCCAAAGTGAAAGCTGGTGGATAGGAACCCTGCCGGAGTTCTTAGCATAACAAATACCACCCGCCAGCCCTTAACGACGTGCTGCCCGACCATTATGTCGACATGACGCGCTCGTGCACTCGGAGGGGGGAATGGAACGAGGAGCCCCACGTCTCAAAAACGGAGGATCAAAGAGGAAAAGTGACTGAGCCAAGGCCACCCAGCCATGAAAAGGCAGAGCCAGGCCTAGAACTAAGTTCCATCTTCTGAATGACCCCTGCTGCCTCCCAAGTTGACTTGGGGGGCTTCACAGGCCCACCTTATCTAATCAGTCACCTGGACTAAGGGTTCTGTGGGTGGATTCTAACCTCGACCTACCCCAGGACCTGAGCACCCTAGGCCGCCAGCCACTAGTCAGCAACCCCCACCCCCACCCCGGTGCCCTATGCCAAGGAAACAATTTTTGATGAAGACCTATTCATCTGAACTATTCATGCACCCCCCACCCCACAAGGGCTTTCTCACCTGCGCAGTCGCATTGAACGGAGGGCTTGTGAGACCAGGCATGGGCACTTCTCCGTTATCGCATGCAGGCCCGTGAGATAGCCATCAACACGTTTTACAAACGAAGGAGATGAGAAACTGAACCCTCACACAGGAGGTGAGAAAATAGAGGCTCAGAATGGGCAGAGGCTTTCCCAAGGTCACAGGGGGAGTGTAGTTGGCAGAGCCTGTGTTAGAGCCCAGTTCTCCTGATGCCTGCTTTTGTGACATGCCAGAAAACTACAGAGTGGATTCTTCCATCATGGCAGCCCTGGGAACTACAAAGGACGCCTGGAAGAGGGTGATGCCAGCGCCTCAGACGGCATCTCTCTGACCACTGATCCACCCACCATTGCTGGCACTGAAGCCAAAAATTTCCAGACTAGAGGACAGGAGCTCCTTCATGCTCTGGAATGCTGAACTATGTGGATTTGTAACACTTGATTACTTAGAATTAGATTGTCAGTTCCTAGCCCAACGTGAGGAGCCCTGGGGCATAGTGGCAGGCTGCAAACCCCAAGGTCAACAGTTAGGACTCCACCAGCCCCGTCAGCTGCCATAAACAGCTACAGAAGTCCAAAGTGGGTCCTGCTACCCGTCTTATAGGGTCACTAAAGGTTGGCAGTTTGAACCCACCAGCCACTCTTTGAGAGAATGAGTGGCAGCTTTAGAAAGCCCATGGGGGTCGCTAGGTGGCTGAGTCGGAATTAACTTGATGGTCACTGCGAGTTTGGTCTGCTTTGGTTTGTGGTGTCCAGGCATGATGTCCCTGGGTGGTGCAAAAGATTAAGCATTGACCTGTATTCTATACCAGCGGTTCTCAACCTGTAGGTGGCGACCCCTTTGGAGGTGGAATGACCTTTTCACAGGGGTCGCCCGATTCATAACTAGCAAAATAATAGTTATGAAGTAGCAATGAAAATAATTGTATGGTTGGGGGGGGTCACCACAACATGAGGAACTTTATTAAAGGGTGGCAGCATTAAGAAGGTTGAGAACCACTGTTCTATACCTATTCTTCTATCATGGATTTCTTTTTAGATTTTATTTTATTTCATAGATTTCATTATTAAAAAAACAAACCAGATCAGATGCTTTATTTTACTTCTTAAAATATGATTGACAATTTTCAATTCAATACTTATAGAACTACATCTAGAAAAACACATATATTTATACATATATGAGTATTTTCTACAAAGGGATATTTGTTTCCATTTTATTTTTGTTATTGTAAACACTGGGGAAAGAAATCTCCTTAAACATAAAACAAAAAGAAGAAGAAGGTTAAGTGCCAGGCTACTTACGGCTAAGGTTGACAGTTCGTGCCCACCCAGAGGGGCCTTGGAAATAAACCCTAACACTGGACTTTTGGAAGGTCACCAAAAAATGAATAAGAGCAACCATCGAAAACTCCCTGCCACCCAGTCCGTTCTGACTCCTAGTGACCCCTGTGCATTTCTGAGGTGGTAAGTTTTCATAGGGGCAGGGCAGCTGGTGGGTTCAAATTGCAGACCTGTGGTTAGCAGCCCAATGCATAAGCCACTCCTTCACCAGGACTTCCTCTGCAAAGTCTTCGCCATGGAAAGCGCCCCTGGAGCTAGTTCTACTAGGTCCCTAAATTCATCATCATGTTTAGAGGCTCCCTTTCCCCAAGCATCTTCCTAGGATAGACTTCTCATTCACACCAGGGTGATAATGCCTGACAATTGCTTATTTATTTATTTATTTTGTTTATTTGTATTACCTCTTTTAAAACTGATAGATCTTGGACAAAAGAAGGTAAGAGTCCCTGATAAAATTCTGGCCACCTGCAGTCAACCCAGAGACTTGTGGGAAGCAAAGCCAAAAAAGATTAAGTGTGCTGTCTTCATCCAAAAGCATAGCTCTGCTTAACACCTCCCCAGTCACTGCCACCTAGTGACTCTGAACAGAGTAGAACTCCTGTGGATTTCAAGGAGATAAATCTTTAGGAGAGTGGAAAACCTCCCCTTTCTTCCTGGTGGGTTTCAACTGCAGACCTCCTGTTTAGCACCCTCAATGCCACCAGGGGTCCTTGCCTACTCACCCAGCAGCTAATGTTGATTAAGCACCTACTGTGTGTTAGCCTTTTTTAGACTCAAGGATGGTGAGACTTCCTCTCACATACTATGGACATGTGACCAGGAGAGACAGACTCTCTGGCTGCAACAATGGACTCCAACATCGCAAGGGTGGAGCCCGCCCAAGCAGTGTTTTGTTCTTGTAGGGAGGGTGGCCGCGTTGAGACGGATTCCATAGCACCTAAGAATAACAAAACGTGCCAACGTAAGGTCCTTGGTGGTGCTGAGGGTTAAGTACTGGGCATCTGTACTTCCACACCCACCATGCTCACTCCCACAGTAAGATGAGACTATCTGCTCCCATAAAGATTCACGTCTTGGAAACCCTAAGAAGCCATTCTGTCCCCTCTGCCCTTTAGGGTCATTGTGAATCGGAATCGACCTGATGACAATGGGTTTATGTGCCAAGCTATACCTCTGCCAAAGAGTTTGTTATATTTGCTCTAGTTTCCTCTCTCTCCCAGCTCTGGGTCCTTCTACCCCCGTTCCGGACAACTCGGCAAGGGATAATATCCCATCTACAAAGACACTGACGTTAAACAATGTGAAGCCGCTTGCCGATAACTTTGAGGTCTAAACCCAAGGCATCTGACCCAGATCTGATTGCCACATTCAGCACGGCACCCTGTCACCTGAGGCCATTGGCACTGTCGGCAAGTGAAGCTGATTTTGCCTCTCTGCCAAGTGTCCTTATTATCTTCAAGACGCGTCTAAATCCAAGATTCTTCAGCAACTGCTTTCTGCCTTCTTCCATCTACTCCAGATCCAGGATCGCAGCCACAGTGAAGCCGTTCTCCTCAGATGCAGGCTGCTCCCCGACGGGTAGCCCCAAACCATCCTCTCTCCCGTTAGCCAAGCGGCAAGCTCTTGCCCCAGCTTCATTCCTACCTCCTGCAGGTAGCCTGTCCTTCCTCCCCAGGCTGCTGGGAGCTAGGTACTCCTCCTCTAGGATCCTTCTGCCCTGAGTGGCTAACTCGCAGGGCACTCCCAGTGCTGAGGGATTACGAGGTCAGTCATGGGAGTCACTCAGGTTGCCTGGTTTAGTGTCTCAGCCCTGCCATTCATTACCTTTATGACCTTGGAGAAATCACTTAACCTCTCCAAGTCTCAGTCACTTCATCTGTAAACCTAAGTTCTAGTTCAAAGACTTATCATGAGAAAGAAGACAAAAAATACAAACCACCTACCTCAGTTACTGACTCAGAGTAATTGTTGGGTGCATTTTAGCTATTATTTTTCATTTACACGGAGACTGATTAGTTATTTCAAAAACTTCTATATCTAACTGGCTGTTGTCAAGAACAGAACTCTGTCATACCGTTTTCAATGACAGCCATAGATTGCCAGA